TGTTTTCAGCTTTCTTCAAAATACCTTCTTTTGTGTTCAACAGAAGAAAGAAACTCATTGCAAAGGTTTGGAACCACTTAAGGGTGGATAAATAGTGAGTAAATTTTCAATTTTTAGTGAACTATGCCTTTAAGTACATAAATGCAATACATTTTTGTTTTACTGACAGTTCATCCTCTGTATTTAACCCAGTATATTCATTCACTCCTCTACAGAATGTTCCATCGGTGGCCTATGAACACAGCTCTATGTGGAATGGGCAGGAGTTTTCTAGAACGTGGCTGCTTATCTATGAGGGATACAGTATAGCAGATTACTAATTTGTAACCAGAACCTTAATATAGTGCCATGTTGAAAGCACGGGGGTGGATGATTCCAATCAAAAAGCCAGCGCAACCATGGCAACAAGTAAAGAAATGGTGAAAGTGAAGGCCTAATAAAGAGAGACCTGTTCGATACACAGTACACACACAGGCCACTGGCCAGCGCCTGATGTAACAGTGGCTCGCTGTCCCTAAATAACCTTCACATCATCGTAGACTCTAAATTTAGCAGCATGCCATCCACAACAGCAAAAGAGAGTCTTTCAGAGACTACCAGACAGGCTATCCATCATATGGTGTGCCATACATACATTAAAGCACAACAGAATGTTTCTTTTAAAGGGATAGTTCACACAAAAATTTTCAATTCTGTTATTGTTTACCCACTTTTTACTGTTTGAGTTTTGTTAAACACAAAATAAGTAAATCAAGAGACTATAGAATACGTGTCACTCGTAGAGTCTTAAATGGGGAAAAGTGTAATGGTCAAAATGGCGAATGAAGCCCCGCCTACTAGTACATGAGCCAATTATTGATTGCTATACACAGACGTTTCTCTGGGGGAGGGACTTGGATCAGATATGTAAGCTTTAGCGAAGGTTCTACCAGGAAGACTCTAACTCTATGTCATCCTTCATTATTATCAATGCAGCCAATTATGATCAAGCGAGTTATATAAATAAGCTCCCTAAACTATTTCCTTCGCTGATTATAGTTGATGTAACCGAAGTTCTGCTTCTTGTAGCTTGTAGGGTGTCAAACTCAATTCCTAGAGGGCCGAAGCCCTGCACAGTTTAGTTCCAACCCTGCTCCAAAACACTTACCTGTAGGTTTCAAACAAGCCTGAAGGACTCAATTAGTTTGATCAGGTGTGTTTAATTAGGGCTGGAACTAAACTGTGCAGAGTTTGACACCTGTGGTTTATAGTGTTTTTAGCAGTGTGGGACACATATATGACTGTCAACAGCTCAAAAAATGTGTTTTGGTCTTTTATGACCCTTTAAGACATATATGACAATATTAAAAACACGCATGCACATAAAGAGAAACTGCAAAAATTACAACATTTGTGGCAAAATAAATGTATTCAAATTGAACAGTACTGAAGACAGGTAAGATGCATCATTGAACAACAGAAAAACAAACAAACAAACATCTTATGGCTGATTTATACTTTTTATAATTTGCGCACCTTCACTTACTGTGCGTGCACCTTAAACGGACAACACTCTTTAAAACGACAGTGGCGGTCAAAAGAAAGTCACCGTAAAGTCAGACGGATAAACAGAGAAGTAGGAAGTTTTCAGGAGCGACAACATATCATTAATATAGTTCAAGATTTTTAAACTAATTATTTTTTAGAATTTATTATAACGATTATATATTAAGATTTTTATAACCTTTCAAGATTTTTTTAAATCAATCTTTGATGCATCATTTGTAAGACTGTCACGATTTCGATTTCAAATCGAAATCGATCGTAATTTATGCCCAATTTCGATAATCGAATCAAAAAATAGAATCGTTGATGCTGCCACGCCCCCATGTCACGTCAGCTTGGCTTGCCAAGCGGAAAAAAACAAGCTTGTTGAAGTGCTTGTTAAACTGCAGACGCAGGAGACCCGTCGACAGAGCTTAAACCCTCTCCTCTTTCAATGAATTCGCCGGTGTGGAAGCATTTTGTTTTTCCAGTGAGTTATGTTGACAACGTTCGTGTTGTCGACAAAAAAGCACAGTTTGCAAGCTCTGCTATGTGCGTATTAGGGTTGGGCCGATAGACGATGGGCGCATCGCGATCCTCCACCCCGCCCGCCCCCATTGCAAATCTGCTCGCGAAAAGTACACACTCAGGCTCTGTTTACACTAATATGTCTTTCTTTGTTTTTAAATTGCATTTTAGAACGAAAACGATATGACATCCACAGTGGTGTGTAGCATTTCTTAGCAGCCCCTCTTCCTCACTACCGCTGAAAACGCACATCACGTGACCACACACACCCATTCACACACGGACACAGACGCACACACAGTCATGTGCTCGAGACAGCGGGTCCAGGCAGTCAGAGGATCAGTAGACTGCTTCATTCTTTCACTTTCACACTAGTACTTAGTCATTTTAGCGAACACCTCAGATACTGTTGGCTGGTTCCTGTTGGTTGTGCACCTTTTTTACCGACGCCATTATAACGACACAGATCACTGCCTATTCACGAGTCCCGCAGAAAAAGTGATTGACAGGTGGTAATTATGTGTGTAACTTGCCTTTACTCATTTACTGTATGATTTGTTTATGGGTAAAACAAAAGCCCCTTTCACACAGTGATACCGGTAAATATATGGAAATTTTCCGGAACGACTTTACCGGTATATTCAAAAAAGCGCTGTTCACACAGGCGAGGACGTTACGGAAATTTTCCGGAAAAGAGCATTCACACATCCATTCCAAAATACCGGTAAATTCTGACATCATTCACCACAAATGAGCTTTAAACGGCTGCGCTTGTGTTTGTAAACATATGACTAAATTACAAACTCTGTGGATGATCAAGATTGTGAACAACTTTCGCAAGATCACTTTCGCATGTCGAGATGTTCATAATATGTGTGTGTGCTGGCGCTCACAGGCTGTTTCAAAGGCATACGCAAAGCTTAAAGGTAAACAAACAACGGCTTATCATAAGCATCTCATCGATGATTATTTACACAGTTGGCATTAAGAAGAACATATAAACGTGATCTGACTAACTTCTAGCAGCTAAATGTGTCTGGAAAAATATTCAAAGGCTTTTATTTTTATAAACCGCGCAGACGTAAATGCGTCTGACTGTTGTGATTGGCTAAAGCAGACGTCTCACGTCAGCACGTTCTAGACGTGCACGCGCTTATTACGGCAATCTTCCTTCTGCATTCACACAGCGCAGCATTCCGGCAAATTGCCAGTAATGTTACAACTTCTCTTTCCGGAAAATAGCCAGAACGAATTTACCGGTATTTTCAAAAAGGACCTGTTCACACATACAACCTTTCCGGAAAATTGCCGGCAATTTTCCGGAAAGGTCTGTATGTGTGAAAGGGGCTAAAGACCATGCAGGTCAGGTAGTTTAAATGGTAGGCTACAAATAATTAATTTGTTATTAATTAATTAATTATTCATAATCAAAAATCGAATTGAACCGTGACTTTAGAATCGAAAATGTAATCGAATCGAGGATTTGGAGGATCGTGACACCCTTAATCACTTGCTTTGGTTCATATCTTGGACAGTTCTACCTATTGAAGTTAAATATTAATGGCTAGAGAACATAGGTTGCTCTACAATTATATTTTTTATTATGGAAAGAATAAAAGCAACAACAACAAAAAAGAACACTAAACAATACTGACATTTTTTTGTTTATTTTGCTCACTCAATTCACACATTACTGGCTGGTCAGTTTCTGTCCTCTACTTATAAGCTTAAAAGGTAATATTGGTCCACCATTCCTGACCATTATTACCAATAAAGCCTAGAAAAAAAACAGGCATCAGTATACTGTAAACCGATAGCCTCAAATATTCTTTTTCCAGTTACCAACTTTTGCCATGACCTCTTTTGGCTTAACAAACTTATCCTTCAGTTTTTTTTTTCAAACTTTTTACCAAAAACGTTCCTCCTTTCCTACGGCTGTTGCAATTTCCAGCCAAGAATTATTTGTCATCTGGCTATCCCCATGATCACGCGTGGACAAATCATAAAGGTGTTTCGGACAAAATCTCTTCAAAGCATTTCATATTCAACTCAAATGAAACGCTCGAGTCTCAAAATATTTCCTGCACTCCGTCAGCCGAAATCATGTCGCACGCACCCAAAGCAAACCTCCGCAAACACACCGATGACGTCACATTCGCTGAATGCAACAGCAGAAAGCTGTTCAATAACAGAAAGCTGATTGGCTATTGCATGTTGGTCTCATTTGCAGATGTAATACCGCAAATCACATTTGGACTAGTGAAATAAAGAACTACAACACCACGAAAGCCAAGCAACAACAACCAAAGAGAATTTAAATGAGCATTAGATGTAGCGTTACATGGACATCGGAAAAACAAGACCTGCGTAAAAACATTTAAGACCTAGAACAGAAGAGAAAGACTTTTTAAGTCCTAAAATATCCATTATTAAATTTTAGACTTGTTAAGACCCTGCGGAAACCCTGGTAAATTCAGCCCATATAAATAGTTTGCAAGCACTTATCTTAAAACAATTTAGTAAATTTTAGTGTGTGCAAGAAAAAACCGACTGTACACACAAAACAGAAATCTTGCATAAGAATATTCATATATATCATATTTGGGCCACATTTTGAAGTCTTGAAAGTCAGATGAACTTTTATCAACAGCTGAAATATATGACGGTCATCTGACCTGAAATACAACCAGTTAATGCAGAAGATCTGTTCATTCCACTTTAACAGATTAAAGATGTGAACTGTTCAGTGTTGCTTGTTTTTTTATTACTTCATCTAAATAGGATTCATATTCTCTCTATATAAATACTTCCCAAGTGTATCCATGGCTACATACTGAACATCAAACACACACACACACACGCGCACGCACGCACGCACGCACATAGCCTATGTCTAGAATAAGCAGATCTACTATCAAAAAGTGCTGAAAAATCACACACACACTCACATTAACAACCGACTCCTTGAACTTGATGTGCAGGCGGTAGCTGGACATGGCGATGACGGCATCCTCTGCCCTGCCCACATACTCCGTAAACTCGCCATGCAGTTCTGGGAAGGGCACCTACAGCAGATGATCACATTAGATCCAACAATCAGCTTCAAAACACCAATGAAATTCAATAACATTAACAGAGATGCTTTCAAAACCACACGAGCAATTTACAAACTCTGAGATCTCCATGAGCAATAAAGTATCTAGATAAGTATAAAGCATACAGTATAAAGCAGGGGTCACCAAACCTGTTCCTGGAGGGCCGGTGCCCTGCAGATTTTAGCTTCAACCCTAATCAAACACACCTGAACAAGCTAATCAAGGTCTTAATAGTACACTTGAAACATCCAGGCCGGTGTGTTGAGGCAAGTTGGAGCTAAACCCTGGAGGGACACCGGGGACCCCCAGGATCGAAATTGGTGACCCCTGGTTTAAAGTATCAACAATAAAGTAAGAAGAACTGCAACTGTACTTAAATACAATTTCACTGTCTAAGCAGTACAACTTTGAAAATGGAATCTTTCTTTCTTTCTTACATCCATCCATCCCTTCCTTGTTTTGCCTATCTACTTACAATTCATTCATTCATTCATTTTTTTCTTTCTTTCTCTTTCTTTCTTTCTTTCTTTCTATACTGTATCCATCCATTCGTGGTTTTGCACATCTATCCACAATTCCTCCATTAGTTGTTTTTCTTTCATGCTTTCTTTCTATACTATATCCATCCATCCATCTATCCCTTGCCTTGCTCATCTATTTACAATTCATTCATTCTTTCTTTCTTTCTTTCTTTCTTTCTTTCTATACTATATCCATCCATCCATTCTTTGTTTTGCCCATCTATTTACAATTCATTCATTCAATCATTCCTTTTATTCTTTCTTTCTTTCTATACTATATCCATCCATCCATTCCTTGTTTTGCCCATCTATTTACAATTCATTCGTTTATTCTTCTTTCTCTTTCTTTCTTTCTTTCTTTCTTTCTTTCTCTTTCTTTCTTTCTTTCTTTCTTTCTTTACTATATCCATCCATCCATTCCTTGTTTTGCCTATCTATTTACAATTCATTCATTCATTCATCTTTCTTTCTATACTATATCCATCCACCCATTCCTTGTTTTGCCTATCTATTTACAATTCATTCATCTTTCTTTCTATACTATATCCATCCACCCATTCGTTGTTTTGCCTATATATTTACATTTTATTTACTCATTCATTATTTTTCTTTTTTCTTTCTATACTAAATCCGTCCATTCGTGGTTTTACACATCTATCCACAATTCCTCCATTCGTTGTTTTTCTTACTTACTTACTTTCTTTCTTTCTTTCTTTCTTTCTGCTTCTCATACCACTTTAAATGTAATCCATAATTTCCTTATTGTCAAAAGGAATCTCTGTATGATTTGTATTATATTTTTTGTCTGCTTAATATATAAATTGTTATTGCTTTGTTGTTACTGCAAAAAAGAAAAAGAAAAAAAAGAAGCTTCTGTTGTGCTGTGCTTTACATCTAGTCATCTGCCTCGCTATCTAAATAAGTATCACTGAAACATATTTGAAATGCATGTGTACCGCATGATCCTAATTTATTTGTTACAGTGCTTGTTGCAATGTATTGCTTATATCTAATTAAAGCGTTGCACCTTTAGATGTTGACCAAAACAAGATCCTTTTGTAGCTTACAGTTTAGTGCATGTTGTGCACCTTGACTAATTTATGCTTATAATGTTGCCCAGTCACTTAGACAATACAGTAGATTATGAAAAAGCTTAAATGTACCATCTTTACCAGAATTAAATAACAGTTATATTAGCAGCACTACTAAGTGCAAATGAACAAGATTTTTCATTTTTAATGGCAGATACCTGAAGATCCTCTTCCTCCAGGACAGGGGGCTTGCGAGGGAAGATCTGATTGGCCTGGATGCACTCCAGACTTTGCTGCCCCTCCTCCTCCTGCCAAAACACACATAGATATAAATGCACCATAATACACTCTACTGTGAATTGCCATAAAGAAAAACAGGAGAACTGGGCAAGAACATGATCAGAAACATCATTAAAATAAAGTGCAATGCATAAAATCTTAACTGTGCAAAAATATATATTGTGTTAAATATATAGTTGTGCAAATATGTGACAAAATATGAGTCTTTACGGAAATATATTTATATTATTTTAAAATAATATCTATCTATCTATCTATCTATCTATCTATCTATCTATCTATCTATCTATCTATCTATCTATCTATCTATCTATCTATCTATCTATCTATCTATCTATCTATCTATCTATCTATACAAATATCCATCTGTCCATCCCTCCATCCATCCAAATATCTATTCGTCCGTCTGTCCGTCCATTCATTCATCTATCCAAATATCTGTCCATCTGTCCATCCATCCATCCAAATATCTGTCCGTCTGTCCATTTATCTAAATATCCATCTGTCCGTCCGTCCGTCCGTCCATCCATCCATTCATCCATCCAAATATCTATCTGTCTGTCCATTCATCCATCCATCCATCCAAATATCCATCCTTCCATCCATCCAAATATCTATCTGTCCGTTCATCCATCCATTCATCCATCCGTCGGTCGGTGTGTCCATCCAAATAGCTTTCTGTCCGTCCGTCCGTCCGTCAGTCGGTCCATCCGTCCGTCCATTCATCCATCCATCCATCTATCCATCCATCCATCCATCCATCCATCCATCCATCCATCCATCCATCCATCCATCCATCCATCCATCCATCCATCCATCCATCCACATATCCGTCCGTAGGTCCATACATCCATTCAAATATCTGTCTGTCCGTACGTCTGTCTGTCAATCTGTCCAACCATCCAAAGATCCGTCTGTTCATCCATTCATCTATCCATTCAGCCATCCAAATATGTATCTATCCGTCCGTCCATCCATCCATCCATCCATCCATCCATCCAAATATTTGTCCGTCCATCCATCCATCCATCCATCCAAATATCTATCTGTCCGTCCATCCATCCATCCATCCATCCATCCATCCATCTGTCCGTCCATCTATTCATCCATCCATCCATCCATTCATCCATCCATCCATCCATCCAAATATCTATCTGTTCATCCGTCCGTCCGTCCATCCTTCCATCCATCCATCCATCCATCCATCCAAATATATGTCCGTCCGTCCATCCATTCTTTCAAATATCTGTCCGTCCGTCCATCCTTCCATCCAAATATCTGTTCGTCCGTCCATCCATCTATCCATCCATCCATCAAAATATCTATTCATCCGTCAATCCATCTGTCTGCCATCCATCCATCCATCCGCCCGCCCATCCACCCACCCATCCATCTATCCATCGATCCATCCATCCGCCCACCCGCCCATCTACCCACCCATCCATCCATCCATCCATTCATTCATCCATTCATCCACCCACCTACCTACCTAGATCTATTTATCTATCTATCCTTTTGCACAATTAAAAATTTCCAAATTGTAAAAATGTTAAATGTTTTCATGACTTATTGTTTTCATAATTCTCCTCACTTCACATAATTTATGTACTGCTGCAACAATAGAAGAGTGTGAGAACTTAAATCACAGGCTAAACATTTGACATCATCAGTTATAAATTTACAAACTCCGTTTCCCATTTGATCACTCCCAGGCTATGTGGATAAAACATTGTTCACAACTAAAACTGAGCGAATGAGTGATTATCTAAAATAAACTGTGGACAGAGAGATCACAGCATTTCCTAAACCAATGCCATTTTTGGCTTTGCTTCAGAGCAGCAAAAACATTTGTGATGGCAAACGGCGACTTCGCCAGGACTTCCTGCTCTGAGGTCACTTCTGCTATTTCTGAAATAACAGACACTCATGTAACCGATGCTTTACTCTAAGACTCGGGGCAGTGGGTTTAGTAAATTATAAGCACTAGCAATAAACACTTAATCATGCAATGCACGTGAAGCATTTAAAAACATCTACTAATCATAGTAAAGTTTAGGTACAACAAAAAAAACTTTTTATGGTCACAGTTTTGGTACTGTTTGGTTCAGTAAAAAAAATTAATAATATCAATCAAATATAATACTGCATACTGATATAGCTATTCAGTCAAGACCAGAGAATGATTTCATTGTATTTTGTTGTTTGATTAATATCAAAAACACAGACAGCAGGAATAATTTTTTTTAATTTTAAGGCGCAGCACAATGAGAAAGTCATAAAGAGCACAAGTTCTATATGCTAACATTCTGGCATAACCGATTAAATCAAGTCGAAGACATTGGAATCTATCATACACCCAGCGCAATGCGGCGCAAGGCGCAACGCAAATGTTATTTGCTAGTTTCAGCTCGACACAAGTGTCATTTTGATGTTTAGCGCCACGCTGTTTAAAATAGTAAATGCATTTGCGCTCATAGGTGTTCTGGTCTAAAAAGGAGGTGTGTTAAGGCGCATTGCTATTTTTAAGGAACTATAATAGACTGCACAATAGGCTAGCTGAGAGCAGGTCTAAAGTCCAGCACAGAGCGCGCCAGTTGTGCGTCTTGCTTACAAATTGCTTAAAACACGGAGGATGTAGAGCAATAGGCTTTGGTTCCATGTATGCTCACGCTCTGACATGCGGTACATGGAGCTTTCACTTTTACATGAAAGTGATCCTAAGTTTAGTGCTAAGTGATGGGGCATTTACTTGCAGGGGCCTGGTTCCAGTGCATGGACGTACATTCTAACATGCACATTTTTTTTTTATTTAAATGCAAAACAGAAACAATGCAATTTCCATGTGTATTAAACAGTGGAGGTCCTGCCGAACAGTTTAGTATTATATTTAGTATTGTGGCTTCCCTAATAAAGTCATATAAATCTTATCATAATCGTAATTTTCATCACTGTTTAGAGCTTTTTTGCATAAACAATATAATTGGTCAGAAATATAAACGCTTTCATTTGTTATCATTGTAAGCCTGGTATTATTCTGGCAAAAAATGCTTTATAAACTGCTAAAGCTAAAGCGATAGTTCACTCAAATATGACATTTCACTCCCTATTAATTCACCTTCAGTTTTTTAAAAATACTTATGATTCATTTTTCTGCTGAACGTAAAAGAGGTTCTTTTGAAGAAAGCTGAAAGACCGGTAACCGTTGACTTTCAATGTAGGAAAAACAAATACTACAGAAGTCACTGGTTATCGGTTACCAGATTTCTTTAGAAAACCTCATTTTGTGTTTAACAGAAAAAAAAGAAAATCAAACAGGTTTGTAAACAGGTAAGATGACAAGATTTGACAGAATGATGACAGTATTTTCAGTTTCGGGTTAATTATTACTTTAAAAACATTGGTATTGCAGTTTCTTAAAATGTATTAAAACATGTCTGAAAACATGGTGCCTTTGTGTTAAATATTTATACACAGTTGAAGTCAAAATTATTAGCCCCCCTGTTTATTTTTTTCTCCAATTTCTGTTTAATAGAGATTTTTTCAACACATTTCTAAAATAGTTTTAATAACTCGTTTCTAAAAACGGATTTATTTTATCTTACACTTCTATACAGCTTAAAGTGACATTTAAAGGTTTAACTAGGTAAACTAGGCAGGTTGGGGTAATTAGGCAAGTTATTGTATAACGATGGTTTGTTCTCTAGACTATCGGGGGGAATAAAAATTATATATATATATATATATATATAAACTGAAAAATGCTACAGTTCAAATCCGTAACCTGGTTAACGGTATGTTTCCTTAATATATATACAGCCAATAGCCGTAAATTGACTTTCCCAGAATTCCCTGCATGGCACATCACTTTTAATGCTTTTTGTTGACATTACTATGGACCTTTTTAGTTGTTTCCCCATCAGTTATGTACATTAGAGATTTATGTTACAACTTGTTGAAAAACAATGTTTATTTCATGACTTTAATTTTATGTGTGTTACTATACTGGTGTTTAGTAGCTCTGTGAATGACACTGAGCACCTTCTATATGCTGATACTCTTTTTCTGCTTGTGGGAAAAGTTGATTGTGATGAGCATTGGTTCATTATGTAACTTCCTCATCACCACCTGCATATGGGTGTGCTAACGTGTTTAACTGTGTAACACAAGATGTGTAAATGTTGGTCATTCAAAATACAGACATATTACCTCTATAAATGAATAAAATACGGTAGTTAAATTAGAAATTACTTTTACGGTTTGTATCGTGTTTTTAACGGTAAAGTACTGGCAACCACAGCTGCCATTTTTTATCGTAAATTTTACTGGGGGTTTTTTCCACAGTGTATATAGTCAAGTTGAAATGTTCAGTTAATCCAGATTAAATATATAGTTAGGGCTGGGCAATTTTACCTAAAATCAAAATCTTGCTTAACTGAACATTTTAACTCGATTATGATTAATAAACGATTACTTTTTTTCTTTTTTCTTCTATAAACAAATATTTTAATGTAAATAATAATTTTAATGTAACATAAAAACTATGCCGTCTCAAGGCATCTCTGACACAACTTCCAATCATGGTCAGTGTAGTGCAAAATAAGGCTCAAGAATATGTCCATCGTCCAACTTGACCAGAGATCAGATGTGGGTGCAAAGTGGCCACAGAAGTATAAATCATCCTCAGCCTTTAACTGAGTGGGGTCACATGACTCCACAAGCGGTAGGGAAAGTAATTGAAAAAATCGTCCTGGAAAAATTAGATCAATTATGGTTTCTGAATGTCGACATTCGAATTTCAATTAATCGCCCAACCTTTATATATATATATATATACACACACATATATAAAGTTTTTTTTGGATGAAAAATCAGTTATTTATTTTTTACAAGTTTGTTATTTAAAGGCGGCACAGTGGTAAGCACTGTCACCTCACAGCAAGAAGGTCACTGGTTCAAGTATCAGCTGGGTCAGTTGGCATTTTTGTGTGTTCTGCCCGTGTTGGCGTGG